CCCCCCTCCCCTCCCCGACTTTAATTACCAAATGTCGCCTGAGCCCAGAGTCCACCGATCCGATCCTGGCTAAATGAACACAATCATGTTTGTTATTTTTGTTACGGCGGTTTTCACAAAGTTGTCTGAAGAAGTGATGTTTCGTACATTCGTTATATTCTGTTTTTGAATGTCACTCTGTTTATAATAACCCCGACCAATATAGTTACACGAAGGTTGAAATTATTCTTCGTGCATAGCTATTTTGTGTCCACCCGCAAGAGTGGCGCCGGTATTTATTAAGGCATCTCCTGCGCACATTTCCGACGAGCCGTCACCGTGGCTTTTTATATATACAAAAGTAATACAGAATAAAAAAAACGATCTTAATGAAGCAGTTAGAAGCCTTTAGCACATGTTGATAATAGCTGTATGAGGTAAGCTATTCAAAGTGTTTTTCAAAGTCTCGTTAGTCAGCTCCCGCGCTTGCAATGAACACAAATTGCTATACTAAACAAACCCTACACAGTTTTCGGCACGAGTCCTCAAGGTGTTCTAAAACTTCAATAATCACCTAAAACATGATTCTCTCAACTGGCCTGTACAATGGGCGGCTCGGAGCGGAGCTCGGCGCTGGTCTTGCCCTCGCAAATACCGCGAGGTCCTACTTCGAGAGCATCCCGAGCGGTTTGCTTTGGCTACATGCGAATTCACCAGCTCAGCTTAGTTGACATTAGTAACATCAAATGAATATTTAATTCATGTTATGAAATACTACATGAATGTTCTAAGTTTTAATTGGAAACCCCAGACCAACTCTAGCCTGATGACAGTATGATCTTTCAACTCTTGCTAATGATGTCAACTCAATGTACTACCGTTTGGTCTTATATTTTCCTCTTCCTTCCAGATGTTAATCCAGTGTCTTCATCAGATTGAGATCGTTACACTTAGGTTATTATTGTGTGCAAACTGAGGTGATCGGGCATGTTCATTTGGTTGGCTCACCTGGAACAGCTTCGTTCAACCCATTTTTTATGGTGCCAAGGATCCTCAATTTACATTCCCAACTTCTATCAAGTTTAGATGTGAATAGCACCACGCATTTAACATTCTGCTACGTAAAAAGCCATACTAACTAGA